ACGAAATTGCTCACTGCATATGTGCATACGGCTTGGCTGTGGATTAGTGAATCCTGGTTAAAACTGGCCCCAATATGCATTAAGTATTTTAGCGCCCCTCATCAGTTCCCGTAGCGGGCTGGCTCATTCGTCCATCGCACCCCCGTTAGCCTGTCGGCAAATTGAATTGCAGCAGCAAGCCGACCCACGAAGCCCCACGGCCTATACCCCCTTTCTATCTTCATAACCCAGGTCACCGAGTATTGATTTCCCCAAAGTGAGATGAGACCGTGGATTTTTCTCTCCCATCCCCCCCCCCCCCGACTTAATTTAAATCATCGCGCTGCATAATACGATTGCAGTATCGGACACAGTGTGTGTGTGTTTTTTTTGCATGGCCGGAGGGATCTTGCACCATTTTTGCCGGGTTACAATTAGGAGTGCTTGCTACTTCACTGGTTACTGGTCGTGGACAAAGGGGCGGGGCAGTAAGGAAAGGGGGAGGTGGTAGCGTTAGGATATTTGGAAAAGTGGACTGTGTAACAGATAAATCTGAAAGTACTGGTAGAAATTTGAAATTTCAGTTGCAAATTTTTTGCCCGAGACGTAGTGTACAGATTTCAACGTCTCAGTGTCAACGTTATTTTGCCAATTTTTTCTACCTACCGGTTCATGTACATGTACGTATCCCATAGCTTCAGTGCCATTGAGTCTTTTGACAAAATGAAGCAAAAGTGGTGAAACACTCTTATTATGATCATTTTATAGAGTGGCATTCATATGCACTTAACAATGCTTAAAGGGAATATACAACATTTGCAAACATCAAAAAATAAAACGACTAAGATTTCACGAAATACCTTACTCGGATGTTGGTAAATGGCAGTCTAAAGCATCCTGTAAAATTATGGCACCTGGTGTGAAGTCATTTTCAAGAAAATGGTATTTTTGTATACATTTCCAACGGTGGTCGGCCGACCACCGTTGGAAAAACCTTTCTATTTTTCAACTACTGCTCCAACTTTACCCTTTCTTTCAGTCCAAATTTTGTTTGCTATTGGTTACATGTTCATGGACAGGTGCAGGCCAGCTAGACTGGTTCCCTTGCCTTACAATTTTCCATCATCTATAAATTGATCTATTTTATCTTTAGTGGAGTCAGGGAACCAGACTACTTGAACATTTTTGTTTTTCTTGGTTTTTCCAGCATTTTCGAACACAAAACTTCAAACATGTCACGTAACAATATTTGATCTATTATACTAACCCCTCAAATAGTTTCTTTCTGAAAATTACAGCAAAAGCCAATGATGTACATTCCCTTTAATAAGCATGTACCGGTGTAGCGTGAATATCTGACTCCATGAAATATGGATTCATTGGTAGTATTGTGCATGCGTAAGCATGATAATAGCCTACCGGTATTTATAGGCCTACCGGTATATAGAAGAGTGACACGTCAAGTGTGAGGGATTAACCAATAATAGGGAAAAGGAGTCCGATTTTCATAGGAGTTTTAAGGAAATTTCAACAAAATATCTTGTTTTAATTTTACAAAACAGTAAACTATAATAAATATCAGGCATTGAAAGACGAAGAAAATTTGACCCTTTTTGGGGCATGATGTGTGTACGAAAAATTCCTGTGACACCCCACTTGCTACAAATACGGTAGGTACAGTACATGTAGTGTGCCACTAAATGAATGACATGAATAAAGGTGCGTGTCAGATACGGTAGTCAAGTTGTAAATATTTATTGACGGCTCATTTGCAAATTTACTCTTCGAAGAAACACACCCTGCACTCAGTCCTTTTCAGACATTCCGTCTCGATCCTAAAACTGAAGACTGGTTTGATGCGAAGGTGGTGAGGCCAGACAAGAAATAAAATGTGTATGATGTGCCCAGTCAACCCCAATATATGCTTTTCCAATTCCTTTTTTTTCACTTGTTTGTCATGAAGGGTCCAGGTAGTGATTTTTTTTCTTAGGAACATATTTTGTGCAACTTTCTGCTTTTCTTAAATGTATGAGAAATATTTGGTTGATTTTATTGAAAAGTGCACTTGTTTAAACATTTAAAATTTGTTTATGCTTTTCCGGACAACTGAGGGCGCTGTGACTGTGAGGTCATTTCAAGAAGACGCTTTTGTGAGAAAATTTCACTCATTGGCTTACTACCATGTACTGTCACAACAACGAATCACTATAAAGCAAAGGAAATGTACGACAGCGAAATATCAAAAATTCTGTCAACTTTTGGTGTGCTGAAATGGCTTACCATTGAAGTTTCTACCGGAAATGACATCAAACTTTTGCTCATGAATATTGAAATTTTCATTAGCATAATAACCAAAAAGGCATGAAGTACCCTTGAAAATGGCAAAACGAAAATTGAAAATAGGGTTTAAGGGGACATTAAGGGAAAATTTACATTGCATGGGCCCTTTTAAAAAAAGTGTTTTTGTGTGCATGTTTCTGCCGTCAATTAGAAGGAGAAATGCCAAGAAAAATTTCTCTATGAAAGCATTCTTTCATTCACCTTTTGTCCTATATTCAAAAGAAAATAGCCCCCAGGGAAATTTCTTCAGACTAAACGTCAGTTTAATTTTCATGGCCTTAAGGACAAAAATTTTAAAAAACATTGTCAACTAGAGCATGATTCATTATGCAATGGTTTGCCATTGTTACCATTGATGCTTGCTTGGCTATCAAGAACTTGCCAATTTCAAGTTGTTTTTCCCTCAAATTGCTGACGTGCTCGTTGACGTGAAGGTAATTTACTAATTAAATTGAAAATGCTACATGCACACCAGATGGTAGTGGTATACTGGAGTAACTTCCTCTATGTGTATGGTCTATGCTGTGTTGATTTAATTGCGTACAGACACGCAGGATTACGGTAATTAATTATTGATAAGTTAAAGCTGCAGCCCTGCGTACATATGTGGCTCATTTTCAAAATACATAATCCATGTACATTTATGTGTAAAATACATAAACAACTAAAATCTATAGCTATGCAAATACAAGAATTTGCATTATTAATCTGTCATCCGAATAATTTGAATTTTTGTTTATATTTTAGTATTTGCAAACATAAAAAACAAACAAAAATACCAAATTGTCAAGAAATTACGTACTGGATTGTTAGTGAATGACAGTCTAAAGTAAAACACCTGGTGTGCGGACATTTTCAAGAAAAGTGGTAACTTTTTGTATCAATTTCCAATGCTGGTTGGCCGACTAGCATTTGAGAAAAATTGGCTTTTTCAAATACTGCTCCCAGTTTAGCATATTTAGTAAGTCCGTATTTTCTTTGCAATTGATTACACACCTGTGAACGGTTACAAGCCAGCTAGACTAATTCCCTGTCCTCACAGCTCCCTGACATCTATAAATTGCTCTGTTTCATCTTAAGCGGGATCGGGGAACCAGACTACAAAACATGATTGTTTTCCTGGTTTTTCCAGCATCTACGAACCCACAATGTCAAACAACTCAGTGTAACAATATTTCCTATAAAATCCATTCATTTTGGAAACTTACAACAAAAACAAATGTTGTATATTCCCTTTGAATAATAATATAATAATTAATAGCACTGAGTACATATGTACAGGGTGAAAAAAGAAAGTGACACCCAAATGTCGGGACTATTGTTTTAGTGAAGTTCTGCATGTAGCACTTTCAAAATCTAGGATATGAGAGCCCAATTCATAAGCTTTCTTTAAGTTCAAGAATCATTCAAATCACTCATGTACTTTTCAAGTTACGGAATTTTAAACACAACTACCCTTTTAAAGTTCTGTCCACGGATCACAAAAAAAATGTGCGTTCTTTCAGCAAAACACACATCCGTATGTGAATTGTTTTCGTTTTGCTGAATGAATACTCCTTCTTGTGATCCATGGACAGAACTTTAAAACGATGGTTGTGTTTACTCTGTAAAGTACATGAGTGGTTTGAATTATTCTTGTACTTAACGAAAGCTTATGAATTGGGCTTTCATATCCTAGATTTTGAAAGTGATACATATACAGACATGACAGAACTTCACTAAAACAATGGTCCCGACATTTGGGTTTCGGTTTTGTTTAACTCGCCCTGTATATTTAAATGAATATGAATTTGATGGATCAAAGCTTTTAAATTGTTCTTTTTCCCAGTTATCAGAAGCATAAAATTGCTGAGACTGTCACAGGTCCCAGGTAGTACTCACATCTGTGTACAAATTTGTACATGTTCATCTTGATGCTGCCGTTTTTGTGTAAACATCTAATTCAAATGCAAAAAATCCATCGCTTTAATTTCTACCATATCATTCCGATTCCTTAATGTTGCCCAGTTGTGAAGTTGTTAATAACCACATGTACAATATTGCACCATTGATGTGCTGGGGTGCAGTTAAAGGGAATATACAACCTTTGCAAACATCGAAAAATAGAACTCCCAAGTTTTTACGAAACACCTTACTAGGATGTTGGTAAATGACAGTCTAAAGCATCCTGTAAAATTATGGCACCTGGTGTGAAGTCATTTTCAAGAAAATGGTATTTTTGTATACATTTCCAACGATGGTCGGCCGACCACCAGTGGAAAAACCTAACTATTTTTCAACTACAGCTCCAAATTTACAATTTTTTTCAGTCCAAATTTTGTTTGCTATTGGTTACATGCTCATGAACGGGTGCAAGCTAGACTGGTACCCTTACCTTACAATTTTCGGCATCTGTAAATTGATCCATTTTATATTTAGTGGAGTCAGGGAACCAGACTACTTAAACATTTTTGTTTTTCTTGGTTTTTCAAGCATTTTCGAACACAAAACTTCAAACATGTCAGTTAAACAATATTTGATCTATTATACTAACCCCTCAAATAATTCATTTCTGAAAATTACAGCAAAAGCCAACGATGTACATTCCCTTTAAATACACAAAACCCTAAACTGTCCTTTTCAAGAACTTCAGTCAAGCGTTTCTTTCATTCTCCCTACTCTTCTTTTCTTGTCATTCACAGATCGTCGTGGCAACACACTTTCTCCTGACAGTATGGTGAGTACGCGACATTGTATATCTTGAAGATATCCTTTTTTGCTCTCCAGTCTCCCGTAGGGAGCCAAGACTTCCGCAGTTATTTTAGTTCCTGTTTGAGTACGCTTCAGGCCAAACAAATCTATCAAAATAAGAAATTTATGAGAGGCGTGCGTCCCCGCAATGCAGCAAATTTTCTAGTTCAGTCGCTTGAGAAACCCAACACCTTTCTTCTCCGACGGTTGTGCTGTGCAGTTTGCGCAGCGTTTAATTAATTCATGAAGTTGAATGTCATTGGACTGAACTCAATGAAATGGACAACACATTGGAATCAGTTGATTCATGCCTGAATGCACAGCTTGTGTACTGTAGCTACAGTATATATTCACGCTATTGTAATGTTGCTAGATGCTCGTCAAGAAATTTGAACATTTAGCGGTGATTTGCTTAACACAAATTCACAGTGTAGGGGCCTACATACACGATGTAGAAATTACAAAATGTAATTGTGCCCAGTTCGGAATACATTCGCAGTTGTTTGTTTTGGTCTTTAAAGGGAAGATACAACATTTGCTAACATCAAAAAACGAAATGATCCAATTATCACGAAATACCTTACTGGATTGTTAAGGAATGACAGTCTAAAGCATCCTGTAAAAATGTAGCTCCTGGTGTGCTGACATTTTCAAGAAAAATTGTATTTTTCCAACGCTGGTCGGCCGACCAGCGCTGGAGAAAACTGGCTATTTTCAAAAACTACTCCATATTTCTTATAATTAGTTATTCCACATTTTCTTTGCAATTGATTACTCACCTGTGAACGGGTACAAGCCAGCTGAATTGATACTCTGACCGTACAATTCCCCAAAGTCTATAAATTGCTCCATTTCATCTTAAGTGGGGTCAGGGAACCAGACTACAAGAATATAATTGGTTTTCTTGGTTTTTCCAGCATCTACAACTACAAGCCAAAAACGTAAAACAAGTCATATTAACAATATTTGCTAAAACATATAAATCCTCCAAATGCACTTATTTCTGAAAATAGCAGCAAAAGCTAATGTTGTGCATTCTCTTTAAGTTAATTACAATTTCAATTCGCATAGTTATTCATTGAAAAAAAAAAAACCTTTTATGGTTATTTGTGTGAATGTTCCTATACTCTTGTATTGCACGTGTACAGTTACGTGTGTGTAGGTTCACACATGTAAGCACCATTTTGGAAATTTCAAAGTTCAGAAGACATTTCTGAAGCACGTTGCGTACCCTGTCACTCTAGATATTTATTGATAAACAAGTTATTGTTTAAAACCACAAGTAATTTTCTGTTATTACACGGACATATGTACCAATGAATAATAAAATTAAACAAAATTCAGATCATCGGACAGTTTTTCTTGAAGAAAGGCGTCCTGTTTGAAACAGAATACTGAGAAAATTTGACTCCCAACACTTCAAGACCCTTTCGTCCCATCATCTTGATTAAAACCGGTCGTCTCCATAGATCAGTGCAGGGAGGTTTTCTATTGCTGTGTAAATGCATCACTCGTCATCTGGCTACTTCGGGCCTGTTTATGGCGATCTCTTTGCCATGAGGAGAAAAAAAAAACGATGAGGAACATCCCCCATGTAGGCTATAGGAAAAGAAAATCTTGTTGGTTGAAACTACAAGAATTTTTTCTTGCATGTTTTTTGTTGTTGATATTCTGAAGTTTGATGTAATTAGAGAATCAAAATAATATATTTAATTTTATTTTTCAACTGAGCTACACAACATAAAGAAAATAATTTAGAAAACTAATTGAATATTAACAAAAAACCAAGAAAATCCTCTGTTATTTAATAATAATATCGGAGTCTTTTATAGTGCACGTATCTACCAACAAGTAGGTACTCAAGACGCTGGAAATTATGTCTATTTTTAAAGAATATGTTCCTTGGATGGGTGTCCACTGCCTCAAAATCCTGCCGAGTCCTAACATTCACTGTTACTATGTTGAGGCAGTGCCAGCGATATCCTGGAGCAGTTCGGATGAGCTCGAGTATAATGTAGGCCTAAATTATGCATGGCAATAAGCATGAACAACACAAGGTTCGGCCTAAGACCTTGACACCATGCATCCTCAAAATCAGCCAATTTTTTTTTGCCAAAAGCCTACAGCAGCAATCTTTTGAAATGTCATACAAAGAGGAATTTGGAGGATTTTGGAAGGTTAGGGTTAAAAAGCCATTTAAATGGTTACCAAGGTGTTTTTTTTTGGTCTTACAAGCAGTGACATACATGCAATGTTTGTAAAGTTACATTGTTTAACTGTGAAATCAAATGTTTAAAGAGGTTGTGGAATGCTCGAAGACATTTCCATCATTTTTGGGGTATATGTAGCCTAAGGTGTGATGAAATAAAAACGACTATTGTTTCTGTCATAAATTTAGTACAAAAAGTACTTTTGAGAGCTGTTTTTCAAGTCCTGTCATGCCTGTTTCGACCCGAACGTGCAATTTGTGTAAAAGTCGTCGTTGCGGGCAGCAAACAAAACACCATAAATCGTGACATAATAAACAGGACTCCCAATGCAGAGTAGCATAAATGAGTCCTGTTTATTACGTCACGATTTACTGTGTTTTGTTTGCTGCCCGCAACGACGACTTTTACACAAATTGCACGTTCGGGTCGAAACAGGACCTGAAAAATAGCTCTCAAAAGTAACCTTTGTACTCATTTCATGACAGAAACAATAGTCGTTTTTATTTCATCACACCTTAGGCTACATATACCCAAAAAATGACGGAAATGTCTTCGAGCATTCCACAACCTCTTTAAAAATTTCTCGCAGTATGTACATAGTACTTGCTCTCTATAGTGCTTAAAGTCCATACAATCCTCATCAATAATTATGTGCACATGTGCATGATTTGCAGGCTTCAGGAGAGAAATGTCACGTCGATGATCTTTCACGATTGCCAAATAATTGACTCCGAAAATAGCCAAGGATCTCTCTCAAGTGTTCAAAGGGCATCAATACAAGTGTAGAAGGAAATACAAGAGTGCCTTAAAATAAATCGCATGAAGAGTGAAAATAGAGAAACAGGATTATTGCCATTCACAACTGAATTTTGGATCAGAAGACTTCTTACAAAATTGCATGTAGAAATGTCAGTGCCTTAAGTCAATGTTGGTTGGATCAGTTACAGCGGCTGGCCGCATTAACGCACAAGGAAAGTTCGTTTACACAAACATTGCATCTCTGCCTTAAAATAAATCGCATGAAGAGCGAAAATAGAGAAACAGGATTGTTGCCATTCACACAACTGAAAATTTTAGATCAGAAGACTTCTTACAAAATTGCATGTAGAAATGTCAGTGCCTTATTAAGTCAATGTTGTTTGGATCGGTTACAGTGGCTGGCCGCATTAACGCACAAGGAAAGTTCGTTTACACAAGCATTACATCTTTGTATAACATTACGCTTAAACTTAAAGCTCTAAGAGTGAAATATGACCCAAGCGTTCATCCCACACGTGCGAACATCACCGTGTGTGTGATGTCATGCATTTTGAATGAACGACTCTGGGGCTGAGACGGCAAGTACATGTGGTTGGCCAACAGCACTTGACTTTCAAGCATTTGTCAAGTGGGTCAAATAATGCACACACAAAATATTCTTGATTCTGCATTTCTGCTGTCAACTGAAACATGACAAAACTGCAATTCTTTGTTTATTTTGATTTGTACAAACAGACTAATTTTGTTACCGGTATGTGCTGCTCCATGACTTTTGGCCAATCAAAGCACCTGGCAAGCAAATGCCTGTCTGTCCAATTTTTTCTTCTTCTTTTTCAGATTTTGAAACCTAATTACATAGAGCTGAAAGTTTCAAATCGGATTTTGAACTGAAGATTCCAAAAATATGTTCACCTAGGTGTACATGTATAGGCCTACATAATGCAGGATTTTTTTTGTTGAATTAATCTTATTGTTGAATACATGTACATGTACCTATACACAAATGAACACACACATGCATACTGAAATTTGTATCCTTGTGGAAACATTTCTTTGTTCTCGTGTACTAAAGTTTTCGAGTTTGAAAGTACAGTTTCAAAATGCTCTTATTTTAACCAGAATTAATTTCCTTGGCTGAAATTCGGACTTAACATCCCTTTTCTAAAACTCTACCATTTGCGACAGATCAACATACCTTGGAAATTCCTAGTTTTTTTTAGTAAAATCCATACATGTATATATATAGACGTATTCATCTATAGAAATTGCCCAGTGGAGACGTATACAATCTTTTGTTTCCTATTGTGTGCATGTCTCCAGAGGGCACGGTGTATCAGATCACGCATAATGTACATACATGTATACATACAGTGAAATCTCGATAAGTCAAACCTCAAGGGAACAGGTTCAAAATTTGACTTAAACAGAGTTTTGAGTTAAGCACTGTTGTGTATCATTGTTATACTACTGAAGGCAATGGATTCTTTCTTTGACTTACAGTTGTTTTGAGTTATCAGAGTTTTGACTTTTCGAGATGTCAATGTATTGTGAAGATATATCTCTAAAAAGTGGAATTTGAGGGAAAAACAGGTAGATGTTTAGCTGAAGCATTCTCAATTTTTGTGAAGAAAAATAAAACGATCTTGGGGAGAAGTGACAAGATGTTGTTTTTTCCTCTTTTCTCCTTCAGGGCACAACTGTTGAACTTTCTTCCACCGGGCTACCTTTACATGAACGTCATTATTATTCTGACTGGCCTATGGGCTATAGCAATGCCTGAGAGTAAAGACAGTATGCATATGGTAAGATACCCCCTCCCCTAGCCCCGCCCCCTTATAAGAAGATGGTCTCAAGAATAATCCTGTTGCAAGAAAGTTTCCTAAAGCCTCCATGTAATATTCTAATGTTACAGGTAATATATACACCATTTGCTTTTACTGTAATTGTCAGAAATAGATGGATTTGGGGGTTTTATTTTAAAGCAAATATTGTTACACTGACCTGTTTAAAGTTTATGGTTTATGCTTATGGATGCTGGAAAAAACAACCAAAAAATGCTGATTTTGTAGTCTGGTTCACTGACCCTACTTTAAACAAAACGGACCAATTTATAGATTGTCAGGTCAGGGAACCAGACTGGCTGGCTTGCACTGTTTACGGATATGTGTAAAATCCGATTGCAAATAAAATGTGGACTAACTAAATTTGGTAAATTGGGTGTGGTATTTGAGAAAAAGTCAGTTTTTTCTTGAAAATGACAGCACACCAGGTGCCATGATTTCACAGGATGCTTGAGAATGTTATTCAATTACAGTCAAGTAAGGTATTTCATAAAGTTTGCAAATGTTGTGTGTTAACCAGTGTCAATTCTCCATGACAATTGGGCATTTCAGATAATATAAAAAATATGTGTTGGACCCAACTCCCAAGACCAGCACACATAGTTACAATTCCCTCCCCCTCTAAAAAAGGTCTCTTTTCATGAGAACGAAACACTCATGCGTCAGAATTTATTAGGAGAAATAAAAACAAATTAAGTTGTTGAAGACCACAAACAGTGCATAGACAAGAACTTTCCAGCCGTCTTGGATTCAAAATGGCCGTCATGTACAGTTTTGAGTCATTGAGGTTCTTAATTTTATTAATGTTCTTTGTTCCCTTTTCTTTCCAGTTCTTCATCTTCCACATCATGAGTATCCTGACTGATATCATTTTCCTTGGTGTGTTCTTTGGGCCAGCGCAGCTTGCACACTGTGAGTACACGGACCGTCTATTACATATACATGTAGTTCTTCTGTCATCTAGTTCCCCATGTCGTATTCTTTCCATCAATATTTACATGTACATATACTTTATTTGGTCAGATTTGTTCACATATTCGCTGTTTTGACCTCGCCTGCTAAATTATTCAAGACATGTACAAATATGGATTGACGCAATTTCTTTCCAGTCTGATCTCTTTCAACCAACACAACAGCATCTCTTATACAACACCTGAATAAATCCCCGTCCTCTGATTGGTAGATCATTGATCACATGTCATTGAATTATTCGTACCAACGCACGGCGCACACGTGGTGCGCAGCGCACAGTGCAATGGAAGCTCTATTGCACGGTGAAAAGAACTTCCATTGCACGGTGTCACTGCTGCTGGTGGTGGCGCTGTTTTAAATCGAGATAAATTGAATATGATTGTTCTCAACCCGTTGAACAGTTTGCAATATTAATATAAATATGATGAACTTGCCGAACTTTTAAATAGTTTTTAACCTGAATAAATTGGCTATTAAAAGTCAACCAATCAGATAACAAGGATTTATTCCGGCGTTATATAAAACAAATAATGCATATTCATCTGATTTATTTACTCAAAACTCCCTTTGAAAATGTCATGGACAAATATTGCCAGTCTACTGTTGGCACCTGACTCATGGCTTCAAGATGGCCCACACTCATAACAATATCCTTAATCATTGTTGAATGGTTATTGTTAAGTTGAGTGGATTAAAACCAAACTTGAAACTTGTAATATCAGGCCAAGTTCGCGCAAGGACTATAGTTGACCAATGGTTAACTAACGTTTGCCCGAACTCTGTCTAGTCGACGGTGGTTGACTACGCTAGTCGACTATTTGGAACCAGCCTACTGGGGTTGGTTGCATCGCTGGTAACCAATAGCCGCGCGCATTCATATCGCTAGGAGAGAGCCAGGATCAAGAAGTTTTGCGATGACATTTTGACCAGCGTTTGACTAGAGACGTTCGCACGTTGCTATCAGTGCGCAGGCGTAAGGTACGTCACAAATCAACCACTAGTCGACTAATGGTCCTTGCCCGAACTTGGCCTCAGTTGCCATGTTTTTTTTGTTGCCCCAAAAATTGCACCAAAGGCTACATGTAACGCACTCTCCTATTGGCCAACAAGCTCCCGAAAAATGACCTTGTAGGACAAGAATCATGAATATTCAGTGCATAGTTAAATGTCACAAAGTCTACTGTAGTCTGATTGGCTTGCGATGAGTGTCAAAGTAGTAAATTATGTTGACTCAGTTAGCAAAGATACATGCAGTCTTACGATGTCCAAGGTTGTCCTTGCCAGCGAGGGTGTTTTTGATCAGTTGTACCTTTGTTCCCCACACAGGCTATCCATCAGGAATAACAGGCACTTGCAGTGACTTCAGATTCAGTGCAGGGTATGACGAGCTTTTTTTTTGTTTCTACATTTTGTGGCAGCGTTCTAGTTGAGTCTGTTACAAGTCCTGTGCCCGATTTCACGAAGCGCTACGTTACGACGTGTAACACGTCGCAACTCGCGACGCGTCGTATCATCCATTTCACGAAAGTTGCGATGTGTTGAACGTGTCGTAAGTTCCTTGACAACGGCTTAAAACACGTCGCAAGTTAAGACGTGTCTAGTGGTCGTCGCAAAATAAGAAGAGTCATTTCTAAGCCAGTATTATGCCATAAACATTACATTAACGAGATTATAATACCGAGGCAATGTGTGTAAAGTTGTAAATAGGAAATTCATTGAATAATTATGAATTAGACCGGAATATTAGAGTTGAAATTTCAAAGTAGCTATACAGTCCAATGAGAGCTTGTTTTCCTTCAAAATTGCAGCGCACGGCCGCCATTTTGTTTTACGTTTTAACAAATTTCGAGCTGAGATCCGACGACTGTTTGTTGAATATCAGACGACTATTTACTGTACGCTGACTAAATACATAAAACAGTCGTTGAGTTGTGCTATAAATACACCTATGACGCGACACACTTACGACGTGTTTCGTGAAATGGATCGCAGGACGCGTCGCAGCTGCACCGCATCGTAGAGATACGACGCGTCGCATTGCTGCGACGCGTCGCATCGCTGCGATGCATCGTAAGTTACGAAGAGTTTGATGAAATCGGGTGCCGATGGTTTCCCACAAGTCCATCGAGCCTATCACAAGAAATGCAGTCTCAAGTCACAACTGTGACAAAAGCATTCCTTTGTCATTGGTCATCCCTTGTTACTTGTGTCCAGACTTGTGACCGGACTCGTGATGGACTGGACTATAACACTGTTACGAGGAGGTACATGTATGTGCACGTAATCATCCTCATATATTAGAAGTTGCACCAGACTAAACAACTGTAGTGTGCAGTCAGGCACTTAAAGCTTAGAAATTACGGGCATACCTCATGCGTTGTATTCAAGCTAGTGTGTGCAGGAGGTATGCGTGGAATTTGTCGGGTCCGAGTGCCAACATTCTCAAGACTTGATTGAATCCGCTCGTACCCCCCCCCAAACTTGAACCAAGACTACATGTACGCTTGGTGAAAATGCAAGGCTGATTAAAGAGGTGTGGTTATGGCGTGGTAATGGATAAGTGGGATTGGACTTGGAGGAAACGGTCTAGTAAACCAGTATCTCTGTTCATTAGTGATGTAAATTGCGAAATCAATTTCATTAGAATTAATTCCAGAGGGGTTCACCCAGATTGTGGGTGTGGTCAGTTGGGGGCTAGGGGGTCCGGTACATGGAACACAAAATGATGACAACTAGATGTGATAGTGCACTCCCTTTCGAGACCTGCAACAATATTTTATCAGTGACAAGACGCACTTTTCACTTCGCAAACTGAAGTTTTGCTGTAATATGAAATAGGTCACAAGCCAAAGTCTCATTTAAAGATTTTTTTGCTGCAGCCAAGTTTTGCTACGCAGATAATTTTTTAAAGATTTTCTTGCTGCAGTGTGTTTTATGATGCCTATTTGATATTTTTCCCCCGAACTTTTTAGTATGGCCATCATAAATCTGATCATCAAGCCACTCAGTGCAATCTTCCTGTTCATGGAACTCCGACGGAGGGGCGGAGTCTACACAAACTTCCCCGGCCACCCAGGATCCAGCGGCTACGAGAACATCGACCAGCCCATTCCGACCAATCAGCAGGTGGAAGCTGCCCAGCCCCACCAATCAGCAATGGACAAGCCCTACCTACCGCAGTGAGGACACGCCTCCTAGAGCAATAGCCATTCACACACAAAAATACACATCAATATATTGCAGTACTCATGAATATGTAGGTTCTTGTTGGCCATGAATATTCATCATCAATACTCCAGTTGTCATGAGCGTTTGGTTATGAATATTCATAGTGCACTTGTCATGGAAAGTACAGTATGTTAGTGATGAATATTCATAATGAGCATTACGGTTCTTGTTTGGGTAGTTTGACAGTGATGCAGAAGTTGTGGTTCTGATTTTTGAAGGATTTGCCTCAAATCAGTTCTATAAGGTCCTTGCAAAAAATTTAATGTGTGCTACTGACAAAAAATGCAAGCGCAAAATGAGGGAAAGAAATGTGTTTAACCGAAGCAAATCATTTGAAAGAAATAAAAATCAGAAGGATTTGGAAGTTGTCAATCGTGCAATTGTACATGTAGCCTGGAAAAAAATTTTTTTGCCAGATGTCGACATCTCTTAGGACCTTGTAGTACTGAATTGGCAGTTTCTAATATCTAGACAGTGCAGTACTCATGCATATTCGCATAAGTGATCCTGATGAATACTAATTATCTGATTAGAGAGTCAGGGATTGGTTGGTTGGTTGCTGGGGGCCAGAAGGTTGTTACGTAGGAACGTACGTACATGTATGTACACAGTACAGTGTTTTTTCCAGAGTTTTTGTTTAGGAAGATTTGTGGTAGAAATGGTGTCCATAGCTTGAGGATAGTATTCATGTCTAACATTCCACATTTTGTATTCTCAAGCAATAAGAGTGAAACCGTACCAGATGTTTTTTTAGAGCCAAGTCGTGCTGTTCCTTTACCAGTGGGCGTTACAGGAAAGAAAGTGGAGAAGTAGTGGGAGGGGCTTGGAGGTATCTGTGGTTGGATTTGATCAGCTGCTGTTACTGGTTAACCCATCAGCAGCTGTGTTACATTGTGTTACATTGTATTACATTGTATTACATTGTGCTTACATTGTATTACATTGTGCTTACATTGTATTACATTGTATTACATTGTGCTTACATTGTATTACATTGTGCTTACATTGTATTACATTGTGCTTACATTGTATTACCTGTATTACATTGTGCTTACATTGTATAACATTGTGCTTACATACATGTACTGGACTCTGTGCATATGTATGCTGTTAATAAAGGATGCTTGATTGGACATTTGCGCACCGTTAATAACAATAATGATAATGTGTGGTGCTTTTATAGGGCATTCCACCTAAGGAAGGTCTCAAAGTGCCTCACAATTATTACCCCCGTTCATCAGGTCATGATGAGACCATTTTTCTGCAGCCCAGATCAGCGCAATCTAGTCTCTACCCTCACAGGTAGCCATTTGTACTCCTGGTTGGAGAGAGGCAATTGTAGTAAAGTGTCTTGCCCAAGGGCACAAGTACCCCGTTCTTCGTCGGGGTTCAAACCCACATGGGTCAAACACCATAACCTTTGGACCACGGTGCCACACTAGCTGTGCGTTTTTTCTTTTTTTCATGCGAAGACTCAATGGGTTTCTAGCTGCGTGCATTAATCAGACATTTTATAGCACCAAACGCGAGCACCAACCAATACCCAACCATTGGGGTGCATTCGTTTGAAAATTTGTTTCGTGTATGTGTGTGTGCAAGTGGTGCTCGCACGCAATGGATCCTTTACTGTCCTCCGAACACTGCCATCTATTGTACGTGCACGGCGTCCAAATTATATCGATGACTGTAGAAGCAATTTGTTCACATGTCAACTCATGTGCTGTTCTTGAAGTGTGCATCTCATAAGCTGGGGGCCCAATATCATAGCGCTGCTTAACAGCCGACTTTGTGCTTACCGAGCCTCCATCTGTTTCATAGGGCCCGTTAAGCAGTCACAGCAAAAGCACGCTTAACCCCAGCAGAAAACTTTGGTTAAATCAGTAACGTAATAGTAGAAATCTCCATGCACGTGCAACTGTTAGCACATTCACGCCATGAAATAGTGCTTAAGCAGCAGCATGATTTTCTGCTATAGTAAGCACAACTTTTCTGCTTACTGTTAAGCAGTGCTATGAAATTGGGCTCAGCTGATGAGAAATTAACAACTATAATAAGCATGTAAATAACTGCCTTATCTGAACCCATGAATGACAAGTTAATAAAAAAAAAAGTTGAAATGATATAAAGTACTTGTAACTAATCACAATAAAAAAAGTAATACATATCCAACTAACAACTTTAAACCAAGGATGCAAAATGTAATGTTTAACACCATTTTATGAAAGATCTATTTGTATTTTTTGCACTGTTTTGGTCAAACGCACTGGGTGGAGAAGGGGCACATGGATGGTCTAAATTACAAAGAAAGGAGTTTGGATTGGAGAAAGAAGGATTGGCAGCCTGTATAACATTAGTTTCATATTAAAACAGAGTTTTGTTGGCTTTGTGGTGTATACCGAGTACCAGCCAAAGTAGCATTAGCTGTGTGGAATTTTGGGCTGGTATTTTTATTATGCTAAGCACAACTTCCGATATTAAGCAAATCATTACCTCATTTATTATTTGTTTGGCAAGGGTTGACCTTGCATGTCAGATACCTGGTATCCCGTTGCAGTGTCATAGTCATGCACTGGCAAAGTTTGGAACCAGTTATAGTGCATGTGGTGATTATGCATGCATGTAATTTGCATATGCATGGCGCTGCAGCCAATGAGAAGGCATTAAGTACAGGAATCACGCCCACATAGAAATTGTAGAGACCTCAGATGAATAAGTAATGAGAATAGTTCAATGTGGTTATCGAGAAGTTTAGTATTACAATCATGTACACCTGCAGAAGTTATATGTTAGGCCAAAAAAAAAAAATACTCGGTCTCTGGTCAGCGCGCACGTCGATTTTAATCATGCGCGTCAACCTTCTTTTTTTTCTTCAAATTAACACGGAAGCTACAACAGTGCCCTCTATTGCCGCGCCTCCTCAAATTTTTGTACCAAGGAATGGGGAAATTGCACCAAGGCAAATGATAAAGGGCACCAAGGCAAATTATGGAGGACACCAATGTACATGTATAATGAGGACACAAAAAAGCAAAATAGTACCCACCTCGTCTGTACAATACAAGCTTGGAAAAAAAACAAAAAACGCGTCACCGCATCAATTCCGGAACTTCGGTCTGACCAGAGACCGACTTTTTTTTTTTTAGGCCTTACCGATATTCAGAATTATTGAACACACTGTACCCCATGTGTTTGAATAGAAATGGTGTAAATAGATATATGCAATGAGTGCTTTTATAGATTTTGAAAAGGTGAGAAATCCCATGTTAGTCTGGTATACGTTGGTATTTTCTCAATAGAAAGAATGGTCATTTTTTGGTACTTGTTACATGTATGTGGGTTGTATGCAATATTATATACACGTATCTGTATGTTATCAACCAAGGTAGAATGTCGCCCCAAGCTCAGTGGGGAACCAAAATTAATGTGGATATTGTAACTAATAGCAAGGTAGGCAGATGCTGGAGAAGGAGTCTAACCATCATCACGCTTGAAAGAAGACTAAGCTGTATGGCACATGGGCGTCGCGAGGGGGGGGGCAAGGGGGGTCACTTGCCCCCCCCCCCCTGGAAAAGCAAAAGAGAGAGAAAAAAAAAAAGGAAGAAAAAAAAGGAAAAAAAAGAAAAAAGAAAAAGAGGCGCGAAGACAAAGTGGTGTAAATTTAATGAGTTGGGGGGGGGGGGCAAAATGTCCCTGCCCCCCTCTAAAACTGATAAATCGAGAATGTGTTGAGAAATACAAGCATTTTTTTGCAAACATTTTTTTTTGCCCCCCTCTAGAAAAAATCCTGGCGACGCCCATGGCATGGCATGCTATTAACGACCCAAATGCTAAACCACATTTAATTAGGAATTTTAGGAGAAAGCTTCGCCACAGGAAAACCTGAGACCACGTTGGCAAAGTTTTCTGGAAAATTTGGATTCATTTAATTACAATTAAATGTCATCAACATATTGACCTATTCAGGAAATTCTGTTTTTCCCCTAGATGGTTCGATCTGAATGCATGCACTGCACATGAGCTTTCTCAAAATATAACTAATTCTAATTATGTGATTGGGTTTTTTTTTCCAAATATTTTGCTGCTAGTTGGAGACAAACAATTTGTCAATGAAAACTATTGCCCAAACAAGAAACATTCATGCATTATATTATTGTATTGGTTTGCGTTAAATGTACATTTTGGACTGTGAAATATAAAATATATTGTGTAGCAAGTAGAATTTTTGTAATTTTGTTGCCTTTTTTTACCCCAACTTACTGCTTGCCACATCAAATGGATTTAGATCATTTTCGAAAGACAGTTCCAGTGAAATGGGTAATTTTGAATTTTTTTTTCCTATGAACTTGTGAAAGTGACTTTTGATCCAACCGAAGAGGTTTCGCCCTAAAAATAGCACATAATAATATACTGCTTCGAAGGTTTTGCTTTTCGAGGAAAAAGACATGCCTATTTTCTTTCTTTATGTAAGGTTTTTATAACTAGTTCTTCGGATCAAACACATCTGTTTTTAAAATGCTTCTGCAGTCTTATCATTAAATTGGTTTAAACTAGTTTCACTTTCAGCTCTTAAATTTTCTTTCATGCTTTTCCTTTAAAGTTTGGAAATTTTTGGAAAAAGGCTACAGAACTCTAATATCTAAAGGTATGGATATGTAAAGGTATGTAAAAATCCAAATTAAATGAAACGTGCTGCAAAGTGCTATGTTATGTACGTTAATATCTGTTCGACTCTGACCACGCTACATGTAAATGTACTATTGTGTAATTACAATTGCAATTTTGGGGTTAGGGGTACACGTTAGGTTTGAAATACTAGTTAGCTTCTATAAGTTGTATAAACTCGTACAATATATATCAATCAGTGTATACTTATATAAAATATGTTTTTCCCAATAAAGGTGGCAATTGTATATTATAAAAATGTGGGTTCTCTTTGTGGTTTCTTTGAAATTGTTTTTCAAAGACAATGGTTTGCTGAATTGTTGCCCTGAAATTACAAAAAACTTTGCAAACGCACATAATAAAATGCTCATTATAAAAGGGACACTGGGTCCTGGAACAGCCCAATTGGGCTACAAAACGCGCTTTGAACGAGATGATGATAATCGGAAAGAACATTTAAAAGTAGGATATAAACATCCACACAACTATCCTTTCAAAACTGGGCGTTTTTGTGTTATTCCTGTATTATGCGTGCGAGAACGAATTTCTGGGTCCACTTTTGGGACCCCATAAATTCGAGCTGTTTGGATGCTAGTTGCAATTTCATTCGTAAAGTGTTCGCGTTTTGCGGACGTTGAAAAAAACATTTTTTTTTTTGCATTGGTGATTGGTCACCAACGCGCTATAGCGCTGTTCCCGAGACACACACCGTGTATCGTACACTGAGAACGACACGAAAAACGTATTCGTACTCCGTCCTGTCCGATGTAAACAAGCGGGGTTTATTCGTCTTTTCTCGGGAACGGTAAGACATTAGGTTGGTTTCCTTTCAACCAGATGTTTGAAATAGGCTAAGTAAACAATCCAAAACATAAAATTTTCGGGGATTTCAGGACCTAGTGCCCCTTTAATATATGGCTGAGCTGAAGAAAGAAACTACAAAAATTCAAGCAACATAATTACGTATCACATTTTTCTTTTAATTCATCAATATGTACAACGGTAAAGAATTACCGATTTGGACGGATAGCAGTAGTAAGTACAATGTCAAAATATATTCACGCAATGCAATTGAATATAAAAACTTTTAATATATACATCATTACACAGATGATAGTTCCTGCTTTCATTAATCAAACTGTGAATTCGATCAATCTTCTGCCGTCCAAGGACATGTTGGTCCGTAAATCCTTTACACAAAATGTCGCCAAGTCCTTCACAAAAATGTCGGGCCAAAACCGACTTCTGCTAGATTATTTCTATATATTTGCAAGCTGGACGTAATTTCTTTGTTAATTTTTACTTCACATGCAAAGGCTTAATGTAATCTAAGTTGATACAAATGGACCTTCTGACTGTGCAGCGTTAAGATATTTCCTTGTATCCCCTAAAAAACAGATGTGCAAAGATTTACATGGAGGCTAGGATTACAAAATGTATGTCTAACCAATGAATTTCCAGATTTGGCCACAAGAGGGCTCACTTCGTGACTACCACTGAGAAAGACAGATTTTGTCAGTTGAAGGCAGATGGGAACGCAACAACATTGAGGGCTCAAATTTAATTCTTACACTGTTCATGGGCTGCTGTTAAAATAGCGGAGATGCCCATGAGAGGCTTACAAGCACTTCAACTTGTAGTTGGCCTATCTCCCTAACTGTTATTGTTTCTTTGGATCCTGGTACCTCAATCTGCTTTTTGTTCATAAATTTTTCTGGACTTAGCATCGAGCTCTTCATGCGTCCTCAGTGTCTGAATGAATAACTTCTTCGGTCCCCTGCACAAGAGAGTTTTCAAAAAAAGAAAAGAAAGATATTCAGAACTGTATTTATTACAACAATATAAAGACAACATTCCATCAAGGTACCTGACCACGTACTCTTCAAACCGTCTCACCTCTGCGGCTATCTCTTCCGCCCTCCTTTCAAATAACTCCTCCCCCTCCACATTGTACCTATCCTCATTACTGCCAAACACAGTCAACTATCAGTCCAGGTACCTGACTATATTTTTCCATTTTTCTTACCTCCGCGGCCAACTCTTCCGCCCTCCTCTGTTCATACAGTTCCTCCGCCTCCTGTCGTTCTTCCTCCGTGTACTCGTCCTTGTCCAGTCGTTCTACTCTCCGGATGTTTATCAGAACTTCCATCCTGTAGTCGTCCTCATCAGAACATGGGGATTCTGCCAAAAAAACCCCAAAGTATACGTAAAAATGAGAATCCTCTATTTTTCCGGATTGCATACCACCTAGCGAGTGCTGTTTTGGGGTGATGAGTTGCCCAAGAACTCACACAAGTCATCAGTGTATAATTCTCTCATTCAGGACATTCATCAAACTTTGGTTGTGTCTCCAGCTGTGGCTCAAGAATCATTTACAACCCTTTAAATGTTCCAACCAAAGGGAAATACTGCCAGGTTGCCCTCAAATTTAAGGACCGTGTTTCTCAGCTCAGTGGACAATGGAGGCAAAATGTTGAGCCTTAGAGTCCTCTGGGGTCAGGGGCCTAAAATATCATGAAGCCTGAAGCCGATACTGGAGACAGAGTCGTGGTTTAGTAAACCACCTTAATTTGTGTGGATGACAAACGGCTATTCACTGTAGGGCTAAAACCAAAGCCATGGCCATTTCCAAAGTAAGCAATGTTGTCTGTGGCTACGGCTATTCACTGTAGAGAACCAATGAAAGAAACCAAAGTCACAGCCATGTTTTATAGCAGTGTTGTCTACGGCCACAGCTGCGTAGTGCCATGGCAAAAGCCAAAGCCATATCCAAAACAAGCAATATGTTGTTGTCTATGGCCCCAGGTATTCGAGAACCAATGGCAAAAAGCCATTGCCATGTCCAAAACAAGCATTGTTGTCTATGACAATGGCAAAAACCAGAGCCATAGCCATGTCAAAAACAATCAATGTTGTCTATGGCCCCAGGTATTCAATGTAGAGAACCAATGGCAAAAAGCCATTGCCATGTCCAAAACAAGCATTGTTGTCTATGACAATGGCAAAAACCAGAGCCATAGCCATGTCAAAAACAATTAATGTTGTCTATGACCCCAGGTATTCAATGTAGAGAACAACGGCAAAAAAACCCAACACAGCCATGTCCAAAACAAGCATTGTTGTCTATGGCAATGGCAAAAACCAGAGCCATAGCCATGTCAAAAACAATCAATGTTGTCTATGACCACAGGTATTCAATGTTAACAATGGCAAAAAAACAGCCATGTCCAAAACAAGCATTGTGGTCTATGGCAATGGCAAAAACCAGAGCCATAGCCATGTCAAAAACAATGGCAAAAAAAAACCAACACAGCCATGTCCAAAACAAGCATTGTTGTCTATGACAATGGCAAAAACCAGAGCCATAGCCATGTCAAAAACAATCAATGTTGTCTATGACCCCAGGTATTCAATGTAGAGAACAATGGCAAAAAAACAACAACATAGCCATGTCCAAAACAAGCATTGTTGTCTATGACAATGGCAAAAACAGAGCCATAGCCATGTCAAAAACAATCAATGTTGTCTATGACCACAGGTATTCAATGTTAACAATGGCAAAAAAACCAGCCATGTCCAAAACAAGCATTGTTGTCTATGGCAATGGCAAAAACCAGAGCCATAGCCATGTCAAAAACAATGGCAAAAAAATCCCAACACAGCCATGTCCAAAACAAGCATTGTTGTCTATGGCAAAAACCAAAGCCATAGCCACAGCATTTTCACCATCCACACACCTGACAGGATGAGCGCCCTCAACATGGGCAGGGATTTGAGTTTAGCGGTCTCTTTCACATCGGCCACCGCGTTGCCCCTGAGGTTGATGTACTGCAGCTGATGCATGGTGTCGGCAAAGCCGTCCAGTTTCTCGATCTGGTTGTCACGGAGATGAAGCGTAGTCAGGTGCTCTAGACGCTCCAGACCCTCCACTTTGGTGATGAGGTTTCCGCCCTTTTGTTTGGAAGCGATGAGGAAAATAACGAAATTATGAGTAAGATTTTGCCAGGTTTGTCAAAATCTGACAATTAAAAAATAATAAGGTCCAAAATCAAAGAGGCTCATTTGTTTTTGATCGAGACATCAAGAATACTACCTAATGCAAATTACTCACTCCCCCTCCCTCCCCCTCCCCCCTCCCCCCACCCCCCGACAATTTATTCTTTCATTAAACATTTCAATAAATAAAAAGTTGCAAGAGTTTTGTGGATTGGAAACCATATGAACAAAAATCAGCGAAGTAGTTTTAATCATAAAATCAGTCAATTAACTAAAAAAATAACAACCAACTGACCAATAGAAACAATTTACATGATTTACAAAAATAACTCCCAGAAATTTATTTACAATATTTCCTGTACACAACTAAAAGCAAATAAAAATGGATATTTTGCCTGGCAAGAATTAAGCGAGCACACACAATGTTAATTATGGACATTAATTGGAGGGCACATTCTCAGCTTCCGTTAGATTTCATCCCGCCTCCCGGGAAATAGGATTATACATTCTCCTGGCTTTTCTAACTCTCATTCTCTGAAATTGTCTAACGTCATTTAGCCCGTCAATTTACACAAGGCTATGATTAGATGTTCGGCGTTATTTTGGGGGCCCGAGACTATAGTTAAACCCCTTGGTCATTTGGTTTCAGTGAGGAGGATATTTACATAATGGCTCAAAAACAGGAACGTGTCAATGCACAATTTTCTGACGCCCCAAGGATATTTGCTTTGTAATAACAAATTAGTGTTTTCCAGAGAAAAGAAAAGAAGGAGGACTTTATATAATGCCGCGTGGAATTTACGAAATTTTATTCAATCACTGCTAGGAGTAATCTGATGAAAGTATAATTCTTGTCGTGGCCAAAGTGTTGGTCTTTAGGGGACATTTTTGGAATGACAGTTACCTTTATTTACATTTAATTTGTGTGCCTTCTGGATATGTTAACTTGTTTGGGACTCCATGCCAGATTTATATTTTCACATTGATTGTCAGTGTTCGTTACAAAAAATTACTTTTCTTGAATTCATTTTTAAACTCCTTGCTTATTTTGTACATGCACAATTCAAAACAAATTATTTCTTCTCTTTTTCTTCTGTTTGATGAGATCCTCAAAATTTACCATCACATAAAATTGAAATTTGCTGAAATTTCACTGACTTAACCTTACTTCAGGGATTACAGGCTCTTGATTCTGGTGTGAAAATTTTACAATCGAAAAAATGTCCTTCGCGCATGATCGTTATCAATTAGGGAAATAATCAGAACAATTAAATCATTTTGTTTATTTCCTTTAGAGGTTTCCAATGTCTTTATGGCCGTTCCAGCATAAAATCTCCACGAAAAAAAAAGAGCAATTATTAAACAGGAAATGAAGTCCATATTAAATCTGACCTGCTACCAATCTGCTTCTGGATGTGACAATTGCAGGGGTCAGATTTCAAGGTAGCAACTGCTGCCCAGAAGTCTGGTTACAAAATGAATTTTTTTTTTTTTTGGTACTTTCTCAATTACTTTCTTTTTCACTTTTTTTTTTAGGGGGATTTGAACGGGGGAATATTTCATGCACGCTTTTCTTGTTTCCTTGTATCCTTCCTTGTTTCAAATTTGTGTTTTTCATGATCGTTCACATTTGTGCTTACATCACGGCCTCGCATGTTTATTTACCTCAATGCTTGTTTATTTGTTTACTTAACTGCAATACAACTTGTTTCATTTTTTGGTGTTTCAATTTCAACTTTTTTTTTGTTATTTTTTCAAAAACTTTTCATGATCTTATAGTATGGTACTTTTGCTCGATTAGATACCAAAATATTTTTTTAAAATTTGAATGGCATGTGATGAAAATAATTGACTGAACCAGTTTTACATCAGGATCCCAAGAAGTGTCGTACCTTTAAATCTCGTACTAAAGATTTGTCTGCACGAAGTGGATAATTTTAAAAGATATACTCTAAATGGGACTTGGAACCAAACAATATGTAGAGTTCAAATGCTCAGAGGTATACCGATAGTATTTCTTATTTGGCACTTCACCTTTCAATACAACTTTCTTTTTCTAAATTCCCTTTTTTTTGTAGGTTCAAAAATATTTCAACATACATGCACATTTTGCATTAATTACGTCTTGCAATCAGGAAAAGCAAAGGAAATAAACGATTACACAGGCCCATTACCGTGAATGAAGCCACACTAAATACGTCAATTTTCAAAAATTGGTGATTCATTAGAGTCTGATTGGGTTACGTAACGCTACAAGGAAATAAGGCAGAGTTTGGCAAATAAAAGAGTCAAAAGCTTGACGTTTCAAGGATGTATGATGTATCTGCGACACTTTGTACTCTGAAGATTATGCAAAAAGGAAGTACTTGGAGATTGAGCCAAAGGGTTTAGGTTGTGGGCATCAGTACAATGAGGCATTCAGAACTTTGTTTTTAATGGAAGAATGACCAAGGAAGGAAATAAAGCGATAGTTTGGACACCCGATAGAGCCGAAACTGCTGTCTCACAAAGGTTTCCATCTTCACTTGAATCATACATTATTAAGACACAAGGTCAATCATGTCTAGTTTTGTTCAACATGGTTATCACATTACTATTTTTGCCCTTTGGCGAAAGTTTCCCCTTTTGAATTTCGTCGTGATATAACACAATGATGGGCCCAACTTGGCACTGTTAATTAAGACCTTGATGGTAATACTTTTGTATAAATTTAGTTTAGTTCGATAGGGAAATTGGCAACACGATAATGTATCCGTGTTTTTACTTGTTTTTACAAAATGGTATCTGCATGTTCACTTTCACTTTCAAAATGATACTTGAAAGGAACATAGTAATGCTGACTTCATTGTGGACACATCTGAAGTAGATTTAGGCTTATATCTTTGGGACGCCTTGTACAATGAAATATTCGATATTGTACAGAGTATTTAAATATAACATTAATTGGAAATCTTTTAAACCTGTTGTTACTTGTGAGGTATTACTCACATCTCAATGCAATATACTTCTGTAACAAATCTTTTCAAACAGATTTATAAATTATAAGTTCTGATTTTTAGTCTTTGAGATTCATCGGTCTTAACTCACCAGAAACAGGTTTTTCAAATTTGGAAGGTAAATTCCGGCTGTGGATGTTAGTTTGTTGCCTCTCAACTCCAGTGTGTGCAGCCTCCCGAGCTTGGACGGTTCCAAACCACCCATCACGCTGATTTCATTGACTAGAGTAAAAAAAAAATCACAACGGTTGCAAGGTTGGAAAATGTGAAATCATACAAAATGCTGTCAAGTGAAACTTATTGTAAATTGAAAATTAGAAAGTCTAAATCTAAAATAAAAACGGTTGTCCAAAAGTGAACAATACTTAATTGACTACTCAAACACTACTTAACGAATGGTGAAATTTTGAAGTCAATGATAAATTAGAATCAGGTGTTATAATAATCAAATAAAAGTGGCTAAACATGCCGGCATGTATTGGATGAGCTTGTGAAGACTAAATGATAATAGTAAATGTTTCTCATACAAAAGGTTGAAGGAAATGCAATAATCAACTACACAGACACCGGCCTCTTCTGTGCTTGGTGGCAAATTTGGAGAATTTCGCTGTCCGAAGAATGTGTGGGGTTGGTTTGATTTTGTTTTTGTACTTTTTTGCACACAAAGTTTCAGTTTTAAGAAGAAAAATAACTATTTATTTTGGCTTGATGTCAAAAACTAATTCTATACAAACAAACACCAGAAATTTGATGAGAGAATGGAGATCTGTCTCTAGAAATACACATTTCTCACAGTGAGTGCTTATGGCTGGGTTTGACCAAGTTGGGGGTGAGATTGTGGAGAAAATGAAAAATACAAGAAATAATCGGCAGAGAGTTTGAGGATTGCCAAGGGCCCAAGAGCAACCTAGGGTCTATGGTACCACTTTAAAATACCCACTTCTTTTGTTCTACATGTATATGAACTTTTATAGGTAAAACAACTTTACTGTAAAACCTCAGTAATTTTAGATTTTCAAACGGGATTTTTAAAAAATCCTGAAATCAGGTAAAATCCTTACCAAAAAAATCCTGAAATTAGGAAAAATCCATGACAAATCTCACCCCTAGACTGCAAAGTTATTGTGTAATCACCTGACCTAAGCTTGTGATCACCTGACCCAAGCTTGAGATCACCTGACCAAAAGGTGTGATCTAATTGGTCAATGCACACTGTTTGATTGAAAGGTAGGAGGTCAATCAACTGCAGGTACCAAGGCAACATTCTGGACCCACAATTTTCTTGAAGACATTTTGGTGCCTCAGGGGGCTTATCGAGCAATATCAAGGGGTGAAGGGTGGGGTATGGGGGTGGGGGTGTTGGGGGGGGGGGGGGGAGAGGTAATTCAGTCACCTAAGCCTGCCCCCTCCCCACCTCTTCTGGTTCCCACTTACAGGACAGGTTGAGAGATTCTAGGAGGGGATGGTTGATGCCATCCGTGGTCGCGATCCTGTTGTTGGCGAAGCTGGCAACCTGGAGGTAGGGCAACTCGTCCAGTTTGGCCGTCTGGAGGAGGTTGCGCTCACACTTCAAGGTCAGCAGGTGGGTCAGGGAGTTCAGAGGTGAAATGTCACGGAGCATGTTCATTGAGAGGTCCACGTAGCGGAGATGAATGAAGGAACTCAAAATACTTATGTCTGTTATTTCCCTGGGGGAAAAAGGGGATAAAAAGAATTTTTTTTCAGTCAAGATCCAATTAAAATATCAACTGTAAAACAGAATTTTTATGAGGTACAGGTTGCCCCACAAGAAACCTAACAGTCGAAAACCAATTAATAAAGGTATATTGCATGTGAGTTTTGGAATATTTTCAAATTACGTCTTAAAGTCAGATAACCAATCAACCATACAAACTTTATTTCATTCAAATCGATGCATTGAAACAAACGCTATGCTTCATTGAACTCAAGGGTTAAAAATCATCTTGGGCCACTTTCCTTGAAAGTGAGAAAGTGCAGTTAGAGAAACACAGGATTTATTTCCTTTGTTCAAGGGTAACGTGTGACTTATTCTACCAGCTTCGATCTGTAAACTTGATAAATAAAAAAAGTGGCCCAAGTGGTTTTTCAAGTCCCGTATTGTGATTGCTGTAACTTTTGAACAAAACATCCTATTGAAACCAACTAAAAAGCATTTGGAAGACCAATTATTCTACTCAGCAATACATTTGACACGATTTTGAATACTACCCCCACTTTTCTGAAAACATGCTCCATTCGACTGTTAGGTTTTGGTGGAACAACCTGTATATGCTGCTGCTGACTTGCTCAATGCACTGCTTTAGCATCAATGGCCCACCATGGCTGTGTCCGAATTACACGGCTATGGCTGACAATCACACATGCACGTTTAGAAGCGGCTGAATCCAATTCTCATAGAGATGTGTGTTACTGCTAGCCGTAAGCCAAGCCATTTGGTCGCGGCTTAAATCTCCAGCAAACTCACCTGTCTTTGACATCTAATCTGACATAGGCATGGGCTAGACCGCTGCCTATTTTAGCCAGTAATGACAGGCATTCTCCAACTGCATCTTCTGTGAGTGGGTTCTCCGGTACTTTCTAGATTTAAACAAAACCAAAATAAATCAACATCATGACATTAACAGACTTTTGTGTGTGTATAAGTTAGCTTATATGAGAACAGTCTCAAGTATTCAGATCAATCAGTTGTCACTTTTTGGGTGGCATACAAATTACAAACTCTACCATGACCATCTCCATGAGAATAGGTAGTCCGAAATTTTGTGTATGAGAGTCCCAAAACTTAAGATACTAAAAACATGCAACACAAGATATTAGGCTGGCCCATGAAACAACCAGTCCAGCACCCCCTTTATGTCAGTCAACTGTGTCAAAAGAAACATCCCGTACCTATATGTAGTCTCTATTTCTACAAATTTTCTCGATATCATCAGGTCATACTACCAGACTACTGAAGGGCCAATCTTTTCAAAACGTTGGAGTACCAGTCTAGTCTTAGACTCCAAATTGAAATCACTTGGCTTCACTCTCAGGTGCAAAATGTTGAAGAAAAGTCTCCTTTAACAATTGAATTGAGACCTCAAACTTGGCTGGTAAAATCCTGAGGACGTTGTCTTTGCCTCATTAAAATTTTGGAGAGTTTTGTCAGCTAAAGAGTGAGTAAACTTGGTCTGATTTTGTTTTGCATGTTTTATTCATAAGATGGAATTTGCGTTTGGGTGATGTAAATTCAATATTAGGTTTTGCCCTTCACCAACGTATAAACACTGTATACTCGATGTGTTAACCCCCCCCCCCCCCTCCCTCCCCACACCCACATTGCCATCTGCCTTTTATAAATTAAAATAAGACTAAAGACTAAGATTTGGAGAAAATGAGAATTTTAAGTATTTCAGTCATAATCTGCACTCAATTTGTAGGCCTATTCAAACAATCACACTTGACACTGGCAGCTCTGCATTAATCATACACATTTCACTATTTTCAGGGTCAAAACAATCCCTGTTTTTTTATTAGGCCAAAAATGTTTTTTATGACTTCTCTACAAAACCACATCAACTGATCAAAAAAAAAATCAATTGTAAGCCTATAAAAGTACAACAATAGCTTCCACTATGGTGATTAGGAAAGACAATTTGCAACAGGATATTGCACTTTCCCTACGCCTAGCGTTAATTTCATACAAAAAAATTACTGCAGAAAGTTTAAATTTTGTTTGTAGCCTAGGCCTAAAAATTGTACTTTGTCAAATTGCACTTTGTAGGCTGAACTTCAACTTCAGCATGTCAAGTCAAGGGAAAGATTTCCATGAAGTTCACTTATTTTCCTCTGTATTGACTAACAAGCTCCCAGATAGCAATTTCATGTCATCAAAGTCAATTTGAGCAGTGAGAAAATACAACTTACAAGCATTTTCTTAGAAAACACTTTTTTTTCAGTCCAATCTCATACTCATATGGTTTGTACACAGGGTGTTGAGTGAACTTCGTATATGGAAATCTTTCCCAAGTCAAGTTCAACTTCAAAAAATATTTTGAAGAAAAAACTATGGATAGGCCTTCAACTTCAATTAGGGAAAAATGAATATTGAGGGAAAGGGTAGGGGTGGGGCAATTTACATACAGCGCTTCTTTTTTTTTAATCAAGACCAAAGGTAAATGACGGTGCACGGTGTGCACTAAAAATTTTGCACGTCACTTTCACTGTGTCACCCGGAACCGCACTAGCAAAAGTAGCAGACGACGCTGTCACTTGTCAGATCATTCCATTCACAAACCTCTTCTTCTTCTTGCTCCCCTCCCTCCTCTTCCCCGCCTTCTTCCTCTCCCATCTCAGGCTCTTCAACCCCTTCTTGGTCCTCGTCATATTCCTGTTCTGAGTAGTCAGACATATTGATCAGGTAATTAACTCTTTTTCAACCCCAAATTGGTAAACTTGGTCAAACGATGTGCCAAAACTGGTGCAAAATTGTGTACAGCAAGATGGCGGGTTGACATGGTGACCGCAGATTTGACCTTTGGTCCGAGAACCTCTTTCCAGATAGCTAAAGTTTTAGTATCCAAAGGTAACGGTAAATAATGATTAATTTAAAATATTTTAAGTATATAAATGTAGTCTACTTCAAACCTACCCTTCAAATAATAATTTTCAACAAAATCTTTTAAATTACGTAATTTATAACTGGCCCTATTTTTACATTACTTCGCTGGTTGTCTGAAACTAACGGAACATGCATTATCAATGAAAATGTCCGTTGCGGGTACCAGGTAAAATACGGAACAGCTAGCAGCCGAAAATCATCATTTCTATTTTCTGCAGCGATAGAGTGAGAGCTAATGAAACGTGCGTGCGATGTGAACGCTGAGCAGACGAGACCGATTGTGCACGAACCAATGTACTGACAGCGTAAACAGTGAAGTCAAAAGTTCACTGCAAAAGCAAAACATTGGTAAGTATTTGTCGTTGTAAATCACTTTTTAATTTTGTTCAAATAGTAATGAACTTGAACATGTTGAAGTAAAACAAACTCTCAATATTCGACAATAATATTTGGTATGGAAGTTTGGGGGAAAAAGTTTGTTAAAAATTTGGTTTGACATGTTGGTCAATCAACTTCAAACTGGACATGAAATAAATGATGGGAATTACTTTGTTTTTGAATAAACTTGAAAAAATAAAAGACAGGTAAGCTACATTTGCAAATATGTCAGTGTCTAAAATGCAGTCATGCTTGTATAATTATATGATAATGTGTTTTCACGGTAACAAAATGTGCCATCTTGCCAACTGGGCAATTTTACACGATCATCACTGGTCATCACTGGAAAACTTTGTCCAAGTCATCATGTGGTCATTCCAAAATGCGTCCGTGTCTAGCATAGCAACACGTGTTCTTTTTGCCCTGTGAACAAGATGGCGCATATTACCGTGAAACCATTGTCGTGGTTCACGTATTTACTGACTAAATAAAGTGTAAACTCTGCATCCAAACTGATGACAAGTCACAAGTGAGTGACACACAGTCAGACAGTGACACATGCAGACATGTTTGTGTTATTTATTTGAAAACAGTTCATAAGCCCTTTCTTTTGGCATTCAAAAATTTTGAATTTGTTAATACGATGGATGCCAATTCCCAGATATATAGAAAGAAAAGTCATGCTTAATTCAAATAACTTTTACTTTAACACAAACTGACAAAATTATTCTGGCGAGTTTGTATAGAGTACATTCTGCCTCCATGGAAAGTGCAACCAGCATGACCAGTGGCAGTGAATAACCAGCATCATTTTAGCAGCATTTTCAAGCTTTCATTCAAGCTACAAAGTTGTATGCTACATATTATTTTGGAATTGTTTGCATGACTCATAATTTACTTGGTAGGGTATAGTATTAGGCCAATGAAAAAAACATTTTTTTTCGGCAATATTTAACCAAAACAGCCCGAAAATAGTTTCCCTTCTTGTTTTGTTCAAAAGGAACAATGATGATAGATTTTCCAAGACGACAGATGGATTTGTCCATTTTCTCAACTCTTTTGCTAATACTTTTGTGTCCAAAGGAGCTTTCACCCAAATTCTGCTGCATTTTAACTTGCATACATTTTGCTGGAAACAAATTAAACCCTAACTATCTAGGCCTTTTTGCTAGGATGTAGCCTCAATCCTGCAAAATCCTCCAATTGGCCTCAAGGAAAAATAGCATAGCCTCAATCATGCAAATTCCTCCATTATTTTTTGAATGTGGTCCATGGAGGGGAATCCTGCAAAATCCTGCGGCAGTGACTGTCAATACTGGTATGTTGAGGCTTGGCCAGTGACATCCTGGAGCAGTACAGAGGTTTCCAAGCATAATCCAGGCCTATATTTATGCATGGCTGAGCAAAAACAACACAATATCCGGCCCAAGACCTTGACAAAGTGGATTTTACGAAATCAGTACCGCACTTTTGCCATGTAACCTCAATCCTCCAAATTCCTCCACTTTGGCAAAGAGGATTTTGAAGGATTCAGGGCGGTTAGGGAAGACAAAATAAAATGCAAATGTGTGATTAAAAAAGATACAGAGGCGGGCGGGAAAAAGGAAGTGGGTGGGGACAAGAAACTGGTTTAGTTTTTTACTTGGCCTAAAACTAGAAGCATTGTAGGGCCTACATATATACATGTACCTGTAACCTTAACCTTCCTCAATCCTCCAAAGTCCTCCAGGCGGTTTTTGGAGGATTTTGGAGCAATTGAGGCTGAATGCAACATACCGGTACAATTTTGGAGGATTGAAGGTACATGGACATTCAGTATTGGATGATTTTGGAGGATTGAGACTGAATGGTGTCTGAAGAAGAGAAATTTAGAGATTTGAGGCTGAATTCCTTTTGAGAGGCAGGGCTGTTTGAAGGACTGAGGTAGTGGGTATCCTTGACACAATTGCAAAATTTTGGAGGATTTTGGAGGATATGAGGATGGTTCCTAGCAAAAAGGGCCTAGGGGGTTAGGGCTAAAAGTTCTTCAAGATGTGACTTCGTGGCAAAACTTTTATCAGCCTACAGGGCACAAACATTTGCAGTCTAATCCAAGGCAGTTTAATACTGCTGAAATATGAGCTTATAAAATTCAAATTTAAGAGTTTGTCTACAGATTGTTGTGCTTTTTCACTTAAATATCAAGATGCACCAGTCTTTTGAACCAGTAAATGGTACAACAGAGACTGGGTACCATATAGGTAGGCGTAAACATTAGGCCTACACTTATTGTGTTATGTCATGGAGAAATGATTCTACTGCATAAAAGTGTTTATGTACAGTCACATTATGTTCAAGATGTACATGTATGTAACCCATGTAGTAGAACCTTATGAATGCTATATTAAAACTACATGTACCGGTATGATCAAATGCTAAACACAAAAATATTGTTTCAGCCTTCATCGTCCCTTGGGAGGTACATTGTACATGTTCCCTTACTTTTCGTGTAAAATTCAAGTCACAGGGTCTTGCCCGGTTTATCTTTCATGTTTGAAGTCATTCACTTCATGATCACAAACAGTGAATGTACTGGTACATGTATGTTTGACGAACAATAGAAGTAGATTCTTCCATTCCTTTTTTACCAAGCTTGTATCCCTAATTTCTGTTTGTGTCAACTGTTCCTTCACTGGTAATACTTCTGTATAAATATGAATAAAATTTACACCTACACGTATGTAAGAATAATCCACACTAAAAACAGTTTTATCCAAAAGGTGTTAAATATGCATGAACACCTCCCTGGAAGATTACAGTTTAATCCCAATAAAGATGACTACAGACCTTGTGATGCATTGTAATCCCCTGATGAGTATATTTCCCAACAAGGCTCAAGCTCAAATTACTGCTGACCAGAAAACGAAAAATGAAAGCAAAGATTGCTTGTTATTTGGTAAATAATTTGAGAACCAGTCTAAAAAGAAGTTTAATCACACGGCATTCCGACAAGTTGCAGGCTGTTTTGACACAAATTGTTCCTGTTCTCAGAAAATGTTTGTGTTCTGTTGAAGTTTTGTAAAGTTGGACATACCGGTACACATTTATTTAAAAAAAAATAATAATAATACAAAATTTAATAAAAATGGATAGTCATGATAATGAGGGAAACATACAGTGTAGTGCCCTTTAGAACAACCAAAAATAAACACCCAGTCAAATCGTGTACTTAATATAGATTTATGATACATTCTGCAAATCATTTTTAGATAATAAAAACAGACTTGGACTAAAATATGTACCAGGGTGGCATATAAATCTTGACCTTTACAGAATTAACCCAAAGATTGCCACAGGTTTTTTTAGGGGAAAAACATTCTTTCTGCTGCATATTGAGGAGTTAAAACTGATTTTTCAGTTTCATCATTACTCACGTTACATTTTTGATGTACTTTTGAGTTTCCTTGGGCTGTAATTACCTTACTGAAAAGGTTTAATAACTGTTATCCCCATGGTAAATAGAGTAGACCTAGACGTACCTAAGCACCAAAGATGACATGCAGAAAAATGTGTTATGTATGATATTAAACAAGACGCACAAAATCAGTTACTCACGTTACATTTTCGTAACGTGAGTAACTTTACATTCTTTTTCATACCATGTGATTTGTATAACACCCAATAATCATAATGGTGAGTAAGATACTGTAATAACAAGATCGGAACAAAATAAGCAACAAACATGTAAATGTACACGGGTATGAGGAGAACGTGTACGCACACACCCACATACATTTGTGAAATTCTGGATTATATCTTTTGACAAAATCATCAAAAAATATTTACTATAAAAATACCAGTCCTCTGTAGTAACAAGGATTTCCCAATTGGTTTGTTTTTTTAAATTAATTAAAAGAGGCTTTATCTTGTACAAGTATAATAACATGTACCTGGGTAATACACTGAAGAGAATATGTAGCACAATACATGTCCTTTTTTATCTTGAAATTTAATTATTTTGGCTGATACAGGCCAAATCCTGCAATGGCCTTCATATCCTCGGTGTGCCGTATATCCAGCATCTGTAATTAAAAGTCAAGTTATGGACGTGCATTAAATAAGGGCCGTGCCGACGGCTCTCTGACGTCAACATGAACAGTATGTATTAAGCAAATGATAGGATAGATTAAATTCTGCCTTTTGAATAAAAAAAAAATGGGCAGAAATAACTGGTTGTACATGTACATGGGACTCATGCTGCCTACAGCCAGTGCGTTTGACCTATTTTATATGCACATTATTTCCAGTGTATATGTATTGATTTTAGTTGTTTTTCACCGTCCTTGCTTCAGCCAAAAAACAAAAAAAATGGTGCACAGAAGCGGCAGCGCGTACCCCCTTATTTCAGGCTGTCTTGCTAATAAATTGAAACTGTATCACATTTCCATACAGAATATTCCTCTTCTATCAACCGCCATCGGCCATTTTGAGAATGAAAGTGGCTGCATGTAGTATTGAGATTACATCAGTATTAATACAAGTATATTTGAGCAATTAAATAAAACAATAAAATTGCAAGCAGGTTAATGTCATTCATTTTGGTTGATAGTCTGTAATTTTATTTAAGCGCTGAATGCATCTGTTCGCCTGATCGCTAAAAAATACGACCTCAATCCAACCTGCTTGAAAAAAAAAAAAAACTAACCAGAATAATAAGCTTTTTAGTGCAAAGCTAAAATCAACTTTGGTTACATAACACCTGATAATGCACTCTATTGAATTAATCATCGAGCAAATGTTTGGGGCCACTCAGAAAGAAGGCTGTTTAGCCTTTTTTTCCCCAGTAAGTCTGTGGGAGACTCATTGTCCAGTTACAATGTCTACCGCTGTTGTCATAGTAATTCTCTGTGTATATATTGATCTGTGGGACAATAGGTGCGAGAGGGTGGCAGAGTAAGGGCTTAGTAATACCCATAAACCAAATGCTGTTGATTGGTGGATACATTGGATCCTGGTTGGTTTTTTTTATTGAGTATGCAAATTTGTAACCAATATGCACAAGGGCATTGTGACATAACTGTGTATTGCAATATGCCATGGAAACTCAGCTTATTTGGGCAAAGAATGAGACTGTGTAATGTGTGTGTGCACAGTCAATGCATTTCTTATGTACTGGTTGGGAGTGTGTCGTACAGTTGGAAAGTGGCCAGATGTGTTTATGGATTTTTGGAATTTAAATACCCAGTAAGTAGAAAAGCAACACTGAATGGTTGGATGAATGGAAGTTGGACCATCCCCTCATCTGACATACCGGTACTGTACATGTATGTAACGTGTCTAACTTGAACTTTAAAGCTTTTGCCAATGAGCACAGTTTTTAGCGCTATAATATGAATGCACAAACTGCAATTCTTACTACAGTACTTAAATTTGTGCTAATTTCAAAGAACTTCCCAAAAAATAATCTTAAAGGGAATGTACATCATTGGCTTTTGCTGTAATTTTCAGAAATGAACTATTTGAGGGGTTAGTATAATAGATCAATATTGTTACACTGACATGTTTGAAGTTTTGTCTTCGAAAATGCTGGAAAAACCAAGAAAAACAAAAATGCTCAAGTAGTCTGATTCCCTGACTCCAGTAAATATAAAATGGATCAATTTATAGATATGCCAGAAAATTGTAAGGTAATGGAACCAGTCTAGCTGGCCTGCACCCGTTCATGAACATGTAACCAATATCAAACAACATTTTGACTGAAAACAATTGTAAATTTGGAGCAGTAGTTGAAAAATAGTTAGGTTTTTCCAACGGTGGTCGGCCGACCACCATTGGAAATGTATACAAAAATGCCATTTTCTTGAAAATGACTTCACACCAGGTGCCATAATTTTACAGGATGCTTTAGACTGTCATTTACCAACATCCTAATAAGGTATTTCGTAAAATCTTGGTAGTTTGTTTTTCGATGTTTGCAAATGTTGTATATTCCCTTTAAGGAGGTCCAAATTGATTGACAAACTACTTGAAATTCAGTGCGTTAATCACACACTAGTATACCTCAGAATTACTGTAGCATTACATTATGTCATTGTCTACTTGTACAGGAATGACACATTAATGTGTGAGTATACGCCAGCGGAGGTTTCTGCACAATATAGAAAGATGATGATGCTATTTGTGCGTTCTTCATTTTGTGCTCGTTAAAAAGTGCATCTGGGCACCTTCAGCTTAAGTAGCATTTTGGTATGATCCGTCCTAAACCATTAGTGGCTAAGATAGGTTTGCACTTGTCTTTCATGACTCGCTGGAAATAATTGAAAAGTTTTCCAATAAAATATGGGGAGAATTTTTTTTTTTTACATTTCTAGTGCTTTTTTCTTATTTCCCTTCAATGTTTTTCTTAGAAAACAAAGGAAAACATGGAAGGTGTTTTAATATTTTTTTTTTAGAGTACAATTGTTTGTAGTGTAATTTAATGCATGAAACTAATCAAACTTTTCCTGTAAATCATTCTTGGAACAGTGAAATTACAGTTTTTGGTTTAAATGACATTTTTAATAGTCCATTATTATTATTTGAATGCAATATTGTTTTTTTTTCCGAGTTAGACCATAAAAAACTTTCAGTTTGAAGTATTTTTGCTGTGCACATTTTTTTTTCTTACATTGAAAGAAGTGAAATAAATGCCCTCTAGAGCTGTAAAGGTGAAAAAAATGGGTTGGAACTCTCTGATATTCGCATGGGCAGGCTATTCTTGAACCAAGAAGGCCACTGGCGAGTGAATACGGTTAAAATCGGAGACCGTGGAACAAATTGGGAGACGTTCCAGTTGTTTTCTTTAGTCTGTGTCACACCAAAAATGTAAGGTTTACTGTTTTATAAGGTTGGTTTCTAATATCTGGTTCCCAAAATCCCAAACCGAATAGTGGAATTCCAACAAAATTTTATAAAAATCCAGATAATTATCCCACCAGAGACCACTACAATTTACGTCAGACAACTCACCTTGAGAGAAAATGCATGGCTCAGAGCTCAGAAGATATGTCACTTTTTTTAAGTACTAAAGCATTTTCAGTTAATTACTCATCTTTTGTGGCCTTATTATAGTGGCACAAAGAAATTACCTTGCATCTCAAAACACATGGAATTTTTTTCGCCTTTGCACTGCACTGTAAGCTGCTCATTTAGGTTATTTTCTTAAGCCCGCCAAGCATGACTAATGACTGTGGCTATTTTTATTCCAAATTGGCACCTTGGTTGAAATAACTCCAGCGGCTTGGGAGGGATTTTAATGTGGATTCCTTCAAGTTTGGCTCCCTTGTGACGCCTCTGATTGAAATTTAAATTACTCAATAAAAACGCAACGATGGAACGAGGGGGAAAGGCTCTAAAATCCTCCCAAGATCCGGGGAATATCACCCAAGAGACCCACTAGCGATTTTCTGTTGGCCCCACACCCCCTGCGCCTCCAAACCATGCCGTATTGATTCGGGATAAAATTTTGATTTCTTGTCGGTGTGCTTCTGCGCTTCACTGGTCCGGGGCTGTTTATGCTTCCTTGGGAGGGGATTTTCGGGGGGGGGGGGGGGGGGGGGGGAATGGGGGGGGGGGATGAGGGGGCAGATCCACCGCCCTTGTTTTTTCAGGAAGGGAAATTAACATCGTGTGCATCAGATATTTCTGATCCTATGATGGCCCAGTGGAATTTAGCGCCTGAATTTCGCTGTTGTAGTGAAGCAACACTTCACGGTTTGATCTGTGGGAGACTGAAAGTGTTATCCTTATTTTGAGTGGTTTAGGTGTTACAAGGATTGTCAAGTCAATTGGTTTCGTCATCTACAGAATACAGATTTAAATAGTTCCAATGACCCAAGCCTCTCGGATACTTAAGATCCCACCAGAAGATTTTGGAGGAATTTGTAGGGTTGATGCTTCTTGAAGTTGCCACATCCATGTCCTTCACTTTATGCACACATTCAGGATGTTTTCTGCAAACTGGAGGATTTCGGAGAGCTCAGGAAGATTCCTTGCAAAAAAAGTGCCTTTTGGTTCAGTGTTTGTGAATCATTTTTTCAATGTGTGTTACAGTAAAAAACCTTTTGTAGGCATATTGTAAGAACTCACGTAAAGGTACATCTGCACACAATACGTATTTTATGTTTTCTACGTACAGTGTACATGTATCAAAAAAGTATTCCGTCTGCCTCTTTTGTTCCCTACAGTTGCCATGTGTCATGCACTTTAACATTAATGACCGGTTTTCGGGAAAACTTCCATTGTGTGTTAATATCACTTTGTCATGCTAAACCAGTGGCAATCATTAAAAAAGTGCTTCATAATGGGGGGGGGGAGTTACTAAACAGTTTGTTTTGTGAATAACCGGTTGACTCACACAACCAGTAGTTAAAGCTTGTTATGGCTCTCTAATGCAAACTCGATATGACATGCCCATCATTTCATATTTCAACCACAGCAAGAAATTGAAAATTACATATGTCCAGGGTCTGCTTAAAGGGCCCATGCACTGAAAAATGCACCTTTTTGTCCCATTTAACCTTATTTTCAATTTTCGTTTTGCCATTTTCAAGGGTACCGGTATTTTGGTGCCTTTGTGGTTTTCATGCCATCGCGAATTTCACCCTATTCATGAGCAAAACTGTGATGTCATTCCGGGCAGAAACCTCAATGTTACAGCTATTTCAGCACAAAAAGTTGCTAGAATTTTGGATACTATGCTGTCATTAATTTTCATTCTTCAGTGATTTGTTGTGTCAGTACATGGCAATTTTAAAAGCCAGTGAGCAACTCTTTCTCACAAATGTTTTCAATGAGCAAATTTTGGGTTCAAAATTTGAACAGAAAACCCCTAAACTGATCAGTGTCTTTCTGAAATAACATCAGAGCAACATTGCCCTCAGTTGCCCAGGCCAGAAAAGCATGGACATTTTTAAATCTTTAAATAGAAGTGCTCTTTTCAATAAAATGAACCAAAAAGGAATATCAAATAGTTTTCAAACATTTATGAGGATTAAGTTGCACAAAAATCTGTTCCTGAGAAAAATTCATTGCATGGACCCTTTAAAGGGTATGTGTATAACGTACTCATTTCCCCGACTAGATATAAACTTACGTACCGGTACATATGTAAATCATATTTATATTCTCCATAATTAGTGTACATTACATTGTAAACTTCCAGACATACATGTATACACCGTAGATAACAAAGTAATTTTAAAGTGGAACTGAAAATTGTAAACAATATTTTTTTGATACTAAAAGTGACTTTTTATTTGATGAGACTGTTTTCACAAATTTGATGTTTTACTATAGATATGCCTAACGGAATCAGGCTCATTTCACCTGTAATTATTATCGTCTGCAGTCCCAACATCACGTAAATGGTTAATTACAGCACACCGATGCAGGCTCCATGACGTAAACACCACTCCCTACCCAATAAATAACTAATTTAAGGGAGTTTGGTTTATGCATGCGATATTTAACAATGTCAGCGCACGGTGAGTCCATTAAAAAACACCAGCCAGACTGTAATTACAGGAAACACATTACAATGCTGGCTGTGCCGAGGGAAAGAATGGGGGGATGAGGGGCAAAAAAAAGCACGCCAAATGCAAATAATGCACCGAGTTACCCAATAAACTGTAATCTGCACGCCGGCTGATGTTACTTAATAAAAATCCATACATCACGCCCCAAAGAGCTGGCTAATTTGCATCTGAGATGGTGATGAAAAATTAGACCATAAGGACGTGTATTTTCTCTCTCTTTCTTCTCTGTTTGTCTCTGTGCTTGGGCTCGTATTCATGGCCAGCCGATGAGTATCAGGAGTGATTTATCACATATTGGCTTTGTTTCAGTCTCTTCCAATTCTCCTTTGAATACCCAAGGTAATGTACAAGTAACGGCTTAGTCATGAACACATACAGGACATGTATATTTTATGCAATTTTTTTCTTCCCCCGAGTGCAGTAGTTTGAGTTATTTTGCATGGTAATTGTGTTTGGATAATTGTAATGTGATAGTGGATCGCTGTACATTGTAAGTTGCGTGAGCGCAGGCCTGTGTCTGTGATCGCAATACTTGATATTTTACATTCAGACACGCAAAGGTCAAAAATGAATACGTACATTGTTGTACTCCGTTTCTGTTTAAATGTGGAAAGCTGCTGAAAGATTTTGTATCTTTCTTCACAATTTTGGAAGTGATACAATCTTAACACAAGAGTGTTAACGTGGGGAGGCACTTGCATACATCCATGCAACTTTCTTCAGCAGTGCAATCTTCTAATACCATGGTT